ATCATGCATTTCGACGGGCCCTTTGCTCACATTCAGCGATGAAGATGGCGGCAGTCAAAATTCAGGTAGTTACAGAAGAACAAGAAGAAGAAGCTAGTCCGTTTGAAAATGGAAACGTTACGCAGAATAAACTGAGCACAGAAACAGAGAAAAATTCCAAGAATTCTGGTAAAACTATTGCAGATCCATCTCGATTTTTGCTGTTTGACAGGTCTAGTTTCATAGATAACACGCAAAGACACTCCAGTTTGAACATAATCGCCCGACTAGTGACGAACGAGCAGATACGTCACTGTTGTTAGATGTTTTTACAAAACTTATACGCCTTCGAAGTCGAGTCTCCTGGTGCGAGCAAATAAAAATAATGTAACTATTTCTTCCTTCTACCGGGCTAACCCGTGGACAAAATATGTCGCTTAAACAGGATTCAACTGTTACCATCATCATAACTCTTGTCAGTGTTTCAATCATTGGGCACTACGGCCAGCCTTGAGACACAGAATCTCTGTACGAAACAACGTCTGGGGGAGGACGGGACCAACATGAAACATGGAAGATCTAGAGAAAACTTAACACAAGTTAGGAAACATACGCACAGCGCAAGGACTCTTGGCGCGTTCGCTCATTTTTTGAGTCTGCATTTTCTAACGCTGATGGCAGAGAAAATCAAATAATGTCAGGAAACAAGAATATCCAGAGAAGGTTTTCATTTTGGAGCTGGAACACGGGGAATTCTTATCCTTCTTAAAGGAAGGCAGAAAAGGCGGTGATATGAAATGGACGAGAAATGGAATAATGACTTTTGTTCTAGCTTCGGTGCTCAGAACTGAAAGGAACTACAGCAAACTACAACTCACATCAAAAAACGAAATTTATTAGTCCACTGTTAACGTGTCTCTAATGAATTTTGTGAAAACAGAATGCAGGGACATTTTAAGACACGCGGTATATTTTTCTAATAAAAAATTATCAACAAAATGTCAGCTCAAAAAACATCCATGTTAATTTGCATTACAGTTACTACGGGCGGAGGGTGACTTTCAAATGGCTGAAGGGGGGGGGGGTCTGTTACAAACATTTTAGCAGTTAAGTACATACAATGAACTTAATCTTCAACGATGCACACTGACAAATCACAATACGCTACGGGCGCAAATACAATAGTAAAGAATGTGATACAGATCACTACGTCAAAGCCAGCACGCAAGTAGCGTGTTAGCAGTCGAGGTTTGGCCAACATCTTGGCTTGAAATATAATGCAGCCCTACTCCCCTCAAGCCCATAATATAGAGGGGGTCCCTCCTAATTGCGCCTGCGCTAACAGGCGACGAGAGTAAGCCATAACTAGCTGGCTAACAACGCATTTTTATCCTATCAGTTGGAACCACGTTTCAAAACACATTGTTGGTTCCTGAAGAAGGAAAGGCTGTTTCGCAGAACTTCTAGAAAATTCTTCATGTTCGTACTTTAATCTTGTTGCATCGTTAATGAAACGTCTCCTTACGCAGAGCGTTATGTCCACGTGTCTAAAGATGTCTTTCAGAACTGTTATATCAGTTGACAGATTTCTATGAAACTGAGTATGAACGTCATACTGTGCCTAACCAAACCATTACATTTAAATTTGGCCGAATGTGTAACTTTCAGGGATAGGCCACGTCGAATGTTGATAGTTTTCAAATGTTTCTACTAACAATGCAGTTGCCATCTTCAAGTTGAATATGGAAACAGCGTTTTTGGAAGACTTGTATAGGGCAGACAGTAAGTGGCGAGTAGGATTTGAAGGTGCTGGTAATCTTATGGGTTTTCAAAAACGGCCAGCCTCCGTGCCTTCACCCTGAAAATGGCAACTGCAATGTTTGTCGAAACGTTGAATAAATGTCAGAATGCGACGAAGCCTGACCCCAAAAATTGAAGGTATATATTGATCTCCGGCCGCGAAAACTTTAACAAGAATTTACACTGAATGAATAAACATTCAATACGAAGACTTCGTTGTTCACTGTTATTACACATACTAAAATAAGATTAAATACACATAACTTGTGTAATATATGCTTCAAAGCCTTGTTATATAACAGACCACAAAATAAACATAACAAAACACATTTGATGTTAACGCGGTCTAAATTCAACAAAGATTTTTGTCTTCATTGCTGTAAAATTCTGCTGAATCATTATCATCATATGCTTGTGTCCAACTTATTTTAATCCTCAATAAATAAAAATTAATTTCGATAAAGGAAGGAAAATAGCTCTCTTCCCTCCGCAAGTAGTAAAGTGTCCCTTGCATCTCTTTCATAATTTTATCTTTGTTATTCTCCGTCTCGCTCTCTCTTTGTCTCTTAAAACAACCGTATCAGATGCGTAGTCACCTGGAAAACTATGGGTAGTCGATTCCTGCTTTAATACTGGAATGAGGCTCGTCAATTTTACGAATATGAATCAGAAACACGACGCACAGCGCCATGACACTGGTCTGCCTGCCTGTTCTTATCTCATTTAACGACACTTCTTCATACGCATGTGTTTGCTACAAAGTACATATGATAAATAACGGCGGATAGCGTATAGCTTCATGGCTTGTAACGATTTTAAAGATGGTGTGTGAGCGTTATAGCTTCTTTGAACGTACTGTGCAAACAGAACCCACAGCAATCTTGTAATGACAACAATTATGTACCATGTCCATTAATATAGAATTTTAATTTTACGTCGGTCTCTGCAATAATGTGTGTGCTACCATTTTAAATTAATTTTCGTGAAATTGTGTTCCGCAACCTAACCTAACCTGACCATTTGTGCATAAATCTATATTATTCGTATTATTTAAATTTGCAATAGGCTATATCGATAACACTTTAAATAAAATTTACATATCCTGTGACAATTCCTCGCGATGATCCCCAGAACGAACTGAAACCAAATTCGACTGCTAACGTTTAAGGCAGACATCCCAAACTACATTTAACCTAAATCCGCACATTGTTGCGGGAGGTAAAACGCGTAGACATTGTCTTCCCATGATGTGTTAACTTCATTGTGAGTGCAAACAACTAAGCAAGCCACTGAATTGGTACTTACGCAACACTATGTAGTCGTTATGTGCAAGGATGGTGTTTTCTTGTGTGTTGAGACGCAACCACCACTTCGTAACGCACACCACTTCATCTGGCAAGCGACGACACAACACTGCTACACGTAGTAGCTAGTACTACATGGGAACTGTGGGAACACCTGTCTGAAACGCCTGCGAGGGGAGGGGTTTGACCATTCACCGCATCGTGCTAAAGTAGCATGAGAACTCTTGTCAAGCATGAGGAACATTTCCCGACACCTCGAAATGCAATGCCCTGAAGAAAGACTGCCTGCCGCTCTGATTTAAACCTTTTAAGCCGAGTAATTCAGTCCTTCACGGAAAAAAAACACACACACAACACTTCACCACTGCAAAGACGAACTAATTAATTCAGTTTAGGGGAATAATATTGTTTTCAGTGAGAATAAAATGAAGAGTTACTGAATGTTGAAGCAGGTAGAATATATGATAACCACTTGGCTTTAAAGGATTCAACACAGAAGCGAAGTACATTATGAAAAACAAAAGAAAGCTGCTGCACTTTACCCCGCATAAGAACCTTCTTTTGTTCTGGAGTTATCTGTTTCAAATGGAATGCATCCAGAATTATGCTAATGTCATGTCTACTGCACTTCCAGTACGTGAGTGCAATTACAATAAAGTGTATATTTCTTCCTTGTGGTTCCTGATAGGTAAGGTAAGCTGTATTTGTATTATTTGTTGGAAACTCGTTATAGAATAAGGTTTTTATGGAAGTTAACTTTAAATGGAAAGTACGATAAATTTAAGTTCAGTATGCGATAGATTCAGCATCCCATTGTCAGAAATAAGTAGATCGGACGAGATCCGACCTCCTTTCCTATTAGGAACATTATAGTCTAATGTAAATGCAGAGTACCAAATTTGTAGACGTGTTTTATAACTGTTGCCTCACACTCCTGATATTTATTAGTTACCGACTTCAAACCGAAAGCTAAATAAGCCCATGGATTTCGCGCGGCTGCCAAGTTGTTTTCTGGATTCTAGTGGGAGAATAACCAGAATAAATGTTGCGTAATTTTCGAAGATCTGTTACAGCACAAAACATCGGGTCGTGGTGTGAAGTTGACCATTCACCGCCGTGATTAAAAACGCATGGAACCCCCCCCCCCCAATCCTTCTTCAGGGCATGTAGGACGTGTGTGAGGGATGAGAAATGCATGTATTATTCTCATAAAATCGGAGCGGAAGAGACCACTTAGAAGAATTTGACGTACAAAGCAGGATAATATTAAAGTGAATTTTAAAGAAATTAGGAGTGTTGGGGTGAAGTGGACTGAGCTGACAAATGATAGCTATCAGTAACGGGTTGTCAAGCTGCTAAGCGACTTCAGTTTCTCAAGCAGGACTCTGTTCCAGTTGACGAAATTGATGTATTTTTTAATTTACCATTAATAATACCAAGATGGCCGCTGTGCAAACTTCAGAAGTGGTAGTGGCACTAGTGCCATTTAATTTAAGGTTCTGAAATTTCATGTAATGGATCTTCGAAAAATGTTCATCTTATGTTAAGGTAAATCATTGACGACCGTGCATTTACTTTTGTGTTTCTTTGCGATAACTAATGATATTATTTTTGAGGTTAGGCCTATATCTGGCAAATTTAACAAAGTATGAATTTGTGCTAGGAAAATTGTGTGCAGAAATGGAGTACTAAATTGTATTATTGTTAATTTACAATTCACGCTATCCTCGTCATGTACATTAAAGTGTCATATTTTCTTCCTATAATGTTTTGTCTTGTCATGGTACACGCGTTTTGATTCTTCTGTCTTTATTGGTTTGTCAACAGGAGTCAGCTCGTTCTGAAAATGGGAACTGGCATTGCATCTGCGGTCTATGTATATCCACGTCTATGCGAGCTCGCGCGCGTGTGTGTGAGAGAGAAAGAAAGGGGTGTCAGTTTCCTAGGTTTGTGATAGTTTAGCATTGGTCTTCAGGTAAACCTGAAAGCCCTGTAGCGTAGGTATTTGTTGAATCGTTGAACAAGATTGATTCATACGGGTCTATCGAATTCTTACGTTTTTGCAGCTCCTGGTTTTTGTCTAAGAGCATTTCAACATATTCTTTAGCCTACTTTCATCTTCGTAAAAACAAATGTTTTGAAATTAACAAATCGGTAAGGTATGCTGTGTATGGGAACAAAGTATAATAAGTTTGGACCTGGGAAGAGGACGTTAGAAGGAATTTAAGCTTTGATATGTACCAGATACAAATTAACCGTCGTTGCCCAATTCCGTAGTTCTAAGTAAGTTTACAGTGAATGACCCCTGAACACCATGATGAAAGTCCTGAACGCACTCACTGATGGTTTCTTGTAATCTATGCTGTGTTCCAACCAATAAAATCATTATACTCAACTATGTTGGCGGGTGTGTAGAAATTTTGTAGTTCTTTGCTGGAAGTTCTCCATTTTATAACTTGCGATATTTGTGAATATTTTGTAATAACAATTATTCCGTGTGAAATGAGTGTGCTTATATCAAGTGATTTACCACTAATAAAAGTAAGTTGACGTGTGTCGTCCATAACCTCAATACGAACAGTTAACATAGTTTAGTAGTGCAGGCTTGTTTAAACCAAATTTGGTTTAGTTTGAGATGATGTAATTTGTGTTTTGTACCCTTCATTCTGTTATAGGATTTGGATGCACTTTTAAGATGTGGAATATGTTATGAGTATATGAAAACTTCCATGATCACATCATGTTGCCATAATTGTAAGTAATAAAGTCGATTTGAAGAAGGTTATTCTTCTCAGCTTAGAGGACAAAGATTTTTTAATATTATTATGGGATGTTTAAAATGTGGTCTGTTTAAAATATGAAATGTAAACAAATTTGTGGATTGAAAGAATTTTACAATTTGGCGCAAGCTATCAGCCCAGAGTAATTTCTGCAGTAATGCATGCATGTAAATTTGCCTTTCGGTTATTCTGGGAATGGCAGATATGAAGTTTCAAGATCAACTAAATAAAATCTTATGTTGGTTTTCCCAGAGGTAAGTTTCAATTAGTTTGTGGATGATGTATCCTAATAAAAGGCCACACAGATGGGAGAGGCTTTGAGAGATGTTTGTTAGGGAATGCCCAATTATCACTGCAAAAAACTACATAAAGTACCTAGAAGCGCACTGATATATAAATTTAAAGACATTTTACCAAGAGGTCATATTTGACCAGAGTAAATTCTTAAAATGGATGAACAGCAACTTGTGAAGTGGCTTTTTAGTTTCCAAAGCTGCATTTCTCCGTCACTGAATTGGAATTATTAGAAATCATTTAGTATTTGGTGACAGAACTGAATTGAAAGAACCCTTTTGCTGCTGGAAGTATGGGCTGGTACTGTGGAATCCTAAAGCTCTGATTTTTCCAAGTTTATGAAAGAAATGGAGAATGATTTGTGCATTTTTAAGAAATAGATTGACAGCGAAAAACTGAACACAATCAAGAAGGCGACAGTTGCTTTTCCAAAAATTTGTTGCATTATTCAGGATGCAGTTTGTATTGATGAGGTTGACGTAATGGCCAGCAGATGTTTTCTTGACAGTAAAAGCTCATTTAGTGTTAATCTGATGTAAGCATGACTAAATTATCTCAGATTTCACATAAACTGTAAAGTCAACAGGGGATTGCAAGAAGTATTCCTTTCAGAATGCTCTTAATGTTGGTGGTTAGTTCAGTATGAGAAGCATTACTTTCAATTTATGCAACTTCCTTATTTCTGTTTTTACATCTGTTTTTATTAATCTGTGTGTTGTTCAGAAAGTAAACTAGTTTGTTCTGGATATAAAATAATAGACAGTAGACCATGTTATTGGATGTTTCTGTTTGAAGATTAGTCATGATATAAATGTTCGGTGAAAATATCACATGTTATGAGGGTTGTATTTTAAGTCTGTCAACTGCTGGTTAATTTCTTTGCTGAACATTGGCATAAGAATCATTTTTTGATGTCGTGTATCTGTGTATTTGCAAGGGTATGTGAAAACATATTTTCCACTTGTGTTAGTTGTGATGATTTAGTGATTGGTAAATGAAACATAAAGATTCAACCATGGTGAATAAATAGTAATTATTTTATTTAATTCTGAGTTTTTCAGTCAGTATCTAAAAATGTAAAAATCTTTTCTTAGAGTGTCAGCTACTGGTACATTTACTCTAAGGAGTAAAAATATGTGGAACTTTGTATATGCCCTCTGTATGTGGTGCATTAGCAGAAACTAACCTTTTCTTTACCTTTACAAATTCATCATGAAGAGCATTGATTACTGTTGATTACCATCAGGTGTACACTAGGTTATTGTTGATAGCTATTACAGACATGAATGTAAATGGCAGTCTGTGCTATACAGTGTCCTGTTATACACATCTTTTTTACACACAAAATATTGTCATGTACAGAGTGTTCCAAACAGATGTGTACAGTACAGGACCTTCGGTGGCCACTAGTTAGTTCCTCACTGCTGTCAACTGTGCCACAAACCTAACAGTGGTCATTTTGCAACACCTGCGTTAAACTTGCTAATTCACTATGTGTCAGTGCTGATGTGTATAATGGTTTAGTTTATTAAAACAACTTATTTTGTTCATTGAATGTGCTTATACATTGTTTGGGGACACTGTGTAGTTACATTATTTACCAACAGATGTATGCCATCGTATTAGTGAAGCTAACCATTTTTGTCTGCAAGTAGGTTATATTTAAACTTCTCTGAAAAATCAGACTCTATTCACATTTTTGGTTACTATGTATTATATTAGGTTTTCTAATGGATCTGTTAATTATAAATGAAGGTAAAATTTGTAAAAAGTTAGAAAGCAGATGACATTATGTAGATGCATGCCAAAGTTGCTTAAACACAAAGTTGACATTGTAAAGTTCTTCCTGGATTTGATAGAAGGAACAATGTTTTTTATAACTGTGTTGTTCCATAATAGATAAAAGGAAGTTTATTTCATTAGGTGTAAGATTGTTTATCTTTATCTTTCTCAGATTGTTCACTGTGTATTCGCAAATCACTGCTGTATAAAGCACAGTGCCCTGCATGTTTTGAGGATGCATTTGATTATCAGCTGCGTAACAACAGAATTCTAGATGATATAATTGAAGTTTTTGTTAGGCTCTCAGCTGAAGTTGAAACGTTTATGCAGAACTATAGAAAACTGTCAGAATCTCAGAACAAAGTAAACATAAAACTGGATTTTATTCAGAATTCAAGTTCCAAACCAGATTCGAGAGAAATAAATAATGTTAATAATGAATCTTCAAGCCAGAGAGATACGAGGGCAGCCTTTGAAAACCTGTCAGAATCTACCAATAGTCTTCTCACATCATCTTATGTACCTGAATCAGAAAACATGGGAACTAAAGTAGATTTAAGTGATGGCTGTGATTATGTAAGTTTGCAAAATGCGTCATCTGTAAAGCACCCACATCAGTCACCTGCTCGTGAAACCATGGTCTCCAAAGGCAAAATGCCAATTCCATCACTGTTCAGTATTCCAGAGAACAGTAATACAAGTTCAAGTTTGGTGCCATGTCCCGTATGTAACATTGACATTCCAGAAAGGAATATCAATGTACATTTAGATGCGTGTTTGAAGAGATCAGAACACACTGCGCAGCACAGGTAAGTACGGCACTTGCTCTTCCTTTAAAGGTGTAGTATTGTTGCTTCCTTTCCTATTTTGTGTGTAATAAAACGTGTATTACTCTACTCAAGAATTTTGCATGATTTGGTGACTGTTTTTTTTTGTTACTGGTTGTCTGCATGGTTTTGTTGCAGGAGGCTTTTGCCCCACTTCTTTCTAATCACTCAGTGTGCTAGGTTCCACTTGTCTCCCCCCCCCTTTAGGTTCTTGTTATACAACCATGTAGCTGGACAGTACATTTTTTGATAGGTACCCCATTATACTTGATTATTGTTGATTATTTCAATTTCCTTGTGACAAATTTGTTTCTTTCATCATGAATTAATTCCATGTTTTCAGACTGCATCCAGTGGATTGATTATTTCATCAGTCTGTATTCTCCCATTCCAAAACTTTATTTCCTGTCCCTTGCATAATATATTCTTTAATTTGCATTCTGCTTTCATTTCGCTTATACAGTAACCTACAATTTCGGTTTTAAAAATTTTCTTCAGTGATTTCAGTGCTTGGTTTTACCATTCTTAACCATATTAAAGTGTTTATGAAAGGGCCTTCCAGGAAACAATGAGATGAAGACCCAGGTTTTAGCTATCATTATCTGTTCATCTACTATTCTGGTGGTCTTCTACATGACATGTGTAGTGAGGTCCCCATCCCATTTCTAAAAGAAAGTCATTCTGGTAAGAAGGGTTGAGCAACCTATATCAAGAGTTCCAGTGCAAATACCCCAAAAAATTCTTGCCTGAGTAGAGAGTGTGACCTTCCGTAACATTTGCCTAAAATTCAAATCAGCATTTAGTTTAGGTGATATTGATTCTTACAACTGGAAATGAAATTCCAATAAATGTTGAAAATGTGCTTTGTTTTGGTGATTTAAACCTGCACCTAGAAATTTGATTTTTTAATTAGCTGATTCTAATAACCAGTGAACATATCAAGTGGCATTTTAAAATATTTCATGCTCTGTAAGTCTTTCTCTAAAGATCTGTGATGTTAGTTGTTTTATTACACCATGAGTGTGTTCAGCATTGCCCATTATCTGAAAGGATGCTTGATGTACACAAAATTTGAGAATTTGCTGTTTATCTTCATATTGTTATTTGATGACACTTTCTGTTTATTTTTTTTTTTTGGGGGGGGGGTTAGCAGCAATAGAATGATAATTTGTAGACCAGAGAAGTGTAAATCAATTATGGAAGTTATGTCATTATAGTGACAATCTATCCATTGATGACATAGTTGAGTCAGATTTGAAGATTTGAGGATCTTATGGCATTTAAGATGTTTATTGTTGTCTTCTGAGTTTTGTTGTCTTGTGGGTGGTTACCAGTAGGGTTTATACAATAACCGACTTTTGAAAAAAACAGTTTTCGAATCCCAGTATTTCCAAAAAACCGGTTTTCGAATTTTTACAAAAAAACAAAAACAAAATATAATTAAAACAGTAAAAATATTTATACTTATTTTAAAAATTCTCAGTATACTTAATATTTATGGAACTACAAAAATAGAACAAAATAAAATATACTACATACAAAACCAAATAAAAAACAAATAACTAAAACCCGTACAAAATATAAATTATAAATTTTTATTTCATTTAGTATTTTTCTTCAGGAAATATGATTTCAAAAAACATAAAATGTCCACTGAACGATTACTTAATCTTGTTCTTATTCTAGATACAAAATTGCCTGAAAAGAAAATACTCTCTCACTGGCTACTGAACTTGGTTTTAATGGTTTCAGGGCATCAAATAATGAATCTAAATTCTTTGTTCTTTTATTGCTTGCCTCAAATACAGAAAATTCGGCCTTCAGTGTCTTCAGATTTGATATTATTTCTTCTGGTTCTTCAAGAAACCTATGAATTGATTTTTCCATGGCTTCGTATAGAGCATTGCTCTGATTAATAGTTTCTCCGTCTCCGATATATTCATCATCAGAATCTGTTTCCGTACAAGAATTTGGATATATTCTAGACAATATTTTTCCAGATACCTTAATAATATCGAGTTTTGAAGCTAGTGGATATACACTAAATTTCTTTGTTGAAATGTTTTGTGGATTTTGCAAATATAGCAAAAGGGTTACCAGTCCAACTTGTCTTCTTTCTTGAATTCTTACTTCTAAAGCATCTAATAATTTGGAGCTAATTTCAGCCTGACTCATGAAGATTAGTTTTACTACAATATGCTTGTGCCCGAGGCAATTTCAAGTCAAAATGTTAACGTTTTTAATTAATTAATTTTTACATATTAATTCTAGTATCTAAAACCGGTTTTTTAAATTTTAAAAACCAGTTTTCGAATTTTACAAATTTATCCAAAAAAAACGGTTTTTAAACCTGGTTTTTAAAAACCGACAAACCCTAGTTACCAGTGTTTTGGAGGAATGTATTTCCTTCATTTTCATGTCTGATACCTTCTTTATATGGAAAATCTAAGTATTTAAATGTGTGACGATGTTTTATGTGTCACTTTCTTTTGAGAAATGAAATTATGATTTATGTTGCTACTTTACAGTTCTCCAACAAAAGTACAGAAGAGAAAGCCTTTACCAAAACTAGTATATTCCTTACTTCATGAGAAGGAATTGAGGAAGATGCTAAAACAGAAAGGCTTAAGCACACATGGTGACCGTAAAGCTCTCATCAGCCGTCACCAACGGTAGGCAAATGATATAATGCAAATGAACAGTATTTTAAACTAAGTTTTAACTTTTAACTCATTCTTTTGATTATCTTGGTGAAATTATTAAGCAGATGTAAGTTGTTTAATTTTTGTGGTGACTGGAAGATAGGTCTGAGCGGTCGACAAGACCACACTCAAAATTCGTGGTTTACGGTAATACACAGATTGTGCAGGTCATGTTTATTTACTCCATTCAACAGTATATAGTAAGATTAGTGCCATTAGAATCAAATGGTTGAATCTTAGATTTTCTGTAACTCTTAAACTTCTGTGTTATGCATCATGTAGAGCAGGAGATCTTACAGTACTGTGGGAATGCAAGTTTGCATCATTTATCTGTAGTGACTGTACACAAAACATATTACATTGTAAAATTTGAGGTTCTGACAGTGGCGAGTTGGAAGAAGACTGACTGTCTTCTGGGTTGTAGCACTGTGTCATGTGGTAGAGGTTTACCAATGTTTCAGAGGTGATTGCTGCCTCTGTCTTTGGGGTTGTGATGACTTATTCATCACCTGATGATAAGGAAGCAAGCACCTCTGAAACATCAGCAACCCTCTACCAGACAACATGGTGCAACATCCCGGAAGATAGTCATCTTCACATATTACAGTGTCCTGACTAGAATGAAATGGGGACGAGGGCAAAAGTTGAGTTACATGGAAGGTGAATGTGTGGATAGGAGGATAATTCTGACCGTGCAGTGTTACAGATATGTCATGTTTCCCGAAGGAAACTGTGTGGTGTGCAGTATGTACAAAACTGTTCCCCATGTACACAGCTATAAAAGTTATATAAGAAATTAATATCTTAGATACAAATTGAGTTATACAGATGTGTCTACAAATAGTAACTACATAGAGCAGTCATTCTTAAGACTCTGATAGTCACTCAGCTTATTGAGAAATTCTCACCTTACCTTCCACGGAACATGAAGCTTCAGTATCACATTCACAAGAGACCATCACTGATCTGCATCCTTGGCCAGATTAGTCTGTCCATTTTAATACAATCCTCTTATTTGCACATAGATTTCTGCATATTTTCCAACCAATATTCTGTCTGTATTTCTTCCCTCTCTGTGTCTGCTTCATGCCCCATCTATCTGATTCTCTTTGATTTGATCATACTAATAATGTTCATTGAAGAATACAAATTTTAGACCTCCCCAAGTGTAGTTTCCTCCATTATCCTACCATGCCCTCTCTCTTTGGTCCAAATGTTCACCTAAGCACCCTGTTTTCAAACCTCCTCAATCTGTGTTCTTCCCTAAATCTGAGACTAGGTTTGACACACATGTGTGGGCACACACACACCCACATAAATAAATTATAGTGCTGATTTAAACTGTATGTTGTTAGGAGTTGGGAAGAGAAAGGTTTCTAAGCTGCATCGTTGCAGTTTCCTCCATTATTTAATCTACATTGCCTGGAGCCGCCGCCGGTGCAGATCTTGGTGGTAGTAGTAATACAATTGTAATCTGTTACTGTCGTTCACAGATATTTGAAATTTGCAATATTTATCTTTATTTCATGATTTTTTTCAGATATTTTTGCGACATGACATGAGCATGTACTTACGTTTCACTGCATTTGCTTCTAGACCAACTTCTGTATTAGCCTAGAACTTGTGTGTTATGCTTTATGGTGTTTCTCACCCAATAAAATTACTACATCAGGAGGTTAAATATTGTGTGGCAAAATTCTGACTTGACCAACCTGCAGCTATCGGATGTACTTTTATTGAAATGGTTAAAACACGTTATAAGACAAATTTAAATAAATTATATTTAAGGTTATCATAGTGGTGAAGATGTGGATGTTGGTGTTCTGGATTGTGATGCTGTGTGGATGTGTAGGTGGATACATTTTAAGATGGAAACAGTATGTTCCTCCAAAATGTTGGAATCTACATACACACCTACATGCCATCACAACCAACATCAGTGTGACACCTTTAAGTAAGTATATTGTAATAATGCACATTTGATTTTGTTGGTTTACGGTATATCCCTGCAGAGATTTTTTATGCTTTTCCTAATTTTTACCTGGAAAATGCTATTGTAATACTTTGAAATAGGCCACAAAATGTCACAACTGGTTAACAGCAATGAAAAAATACTTTTAATTTGAGAACATTGCATAGATAGATGTCCAGGAAGGAACGTTTTTCAGTGCCTGAATTTTAACATTTATATTTGCATTTAAATATGATGTGTCATGAAGTGGTTTCCTGTAGGTGTCTGAAATACAGACTAAACATGAATGGTGAAAACCAAATGACATCTTTTGTGTTGTAGATTCACTTTACTGTACAATTCAGAAAATGACACCTTAAATCCAAGGTCAATTGCTGATTTAATTAAGCAGATTGAGAGGGAAGAACAAGAAGAAAACAAAGTCTGCAGTGTATCCACCACATGGAATGTGAGTTTCGGCACATTATTTAAGTGTAATGCCATCTTATTTTTTAACAGTGTCTATCATCCATAACATCTCTAGGATAACATTTTGGGAAATGTGTTAAAATCAATCATTGAATCAGACACATATTTTATACATAATAGAGTCACAAATTAGCTGCATATTTATCTAAATAACACTGAAAAGGGTTACTTGTTTGTGGAGTACACTAAAATTATAAAGGTATTCTTTAAGCCACATTCCACACACAAATGCTATTAAGGATGATGGTTTTGTGTATGTCCCTCTTTACTCTCTGCCTTAAAAAACTGGAGTGGCTTAGATAAGAGTAAAAGATAAAAATTGTTCTTATAATTAAGAGAATTATGAATGACTGGAATTATGATGCTGGCTGTACACTTACATCACTTCCAGTATGGGACTTAGAAATTTTAAAGCACTTGATTTTTTCAAGGAGTGTACTGTGAATATTTATAACATTTTCACAGTAAATAAGAATGATTTTTGTTGTACAAAGTGTACATTGAAAATATGCAGGATGATTCAAAAAGTCCCATATGCTTATGAATACAAATGTGTTTCTCATAGTGAACTTATTTATGGTTACAAGTTACAACATATGTTGGCAATGGGCCCCATGTGCTTGTATCTATTTATTTAATGACACTTTTGCAACAGCTCAGACTATATAGTGTTGAATGAAGGATGACATTGAATTGTAGACAAGTAATGTGCACCACCTAGGATATATTTGGTACAGGGACTGTTGAATTATACTGTAGAAATAGACATACATGGATGCCAAGTTGGCATACAAAATAATGATTTTTCACAATAAAACAGAAACATCTGTCTGATATAAATGATATTAATTGTGGTGTTGTTGGCATTGCTGTGTTGCAGAACGTCACTTCCTCATTCTGTGACATAATTCCTTGCATTTAGCCTTCCATTTTTCTATATTTGTCATTTCAAAGTTGCATTGCATGCATTGTATATTGATTAACCTTTAAATCACTGTAAGTCAGCAGAAAGATTAAACAGTGCAAGAGGTATAATATTTTTTTGTGGATTTTGTTCTGTTAAAATTAACAGGGATTACCCCTGTTCTGAAACTTGTAACCTTTATGATACTATAAAGTAAAATTTTGAATTGTTTGGATAAGATGCTGTGTTATTGTAGGAGCCCTGGCACTTTAGTTAGTAGAGTCATGGGCTATGGACTA